AGCGACCCCCAAACGGCCCTAAACCCCTAAACCCTAAACCCGTAACCCTAAACCCCAAACCCCTAAGCCCTAAACCCGTAACCCTAAACCCTAAACCCTAGACTTACTCTAAGCCCAAACTGCCTTGATTTCGAACTTGGTGCACAGAGATTGCCCCTCGGTGGTGCAGTCGACGTCCGCAACCTCTGAGGCTTCGGGGTGTAGGGTTTAGGGGTTTCGGGCTTAGGGTTTAGGGGGGCTTAGGGTTTAGGGTTTAGGGTGTAGAGCTTGGGGTTTAGGGTTTAGGGGTTTGGGGTTTAGTTGTTTAGTGGTTTAGGGTGTAGGGTGTACGGTTTAGAGTTTGGTTGCTTAGTGGTTTAGGGTTTAGGCTTTAGGGGTTTGGGGTGTAGGGTCTAGGGGTTTAGGGTGTAGGGTTTAGAGATACTGTAGGAAGCTGATTAAGAAACCCTGACTCTTTATCCGGGTTCCTTATATATGGATCCCAATATTTGTCGGACCAGGGTTTCTTAATCAGGTTCCTACATTGCAGCGTTTAGGGTGCGGCTTTGAGGGTTGAGGCTTGGGGTTAGGGTCTAGCATTTTCGGGTTGAAGGGTCAGGATGTAATTAGAGAAAACAGCTTAGCGTTGTGGGGATTTAAACTAGCTTTGTTGTTTAAGACTCGGGATCCCAAACCGCGACTAGACCAGGCTAGACTCTGTGCTGGCTCCGGGCTGCCAGGGAGAGGGGGCGGCTGGTTCCGCTTAGGATTTAGGGTTCGATTCGGGCTTTGGGGCTTCGGGTTTAAGGGTTCGGCAGCGCCCCAAAACAAGACATCACTCAGGCGTCCGCATGCACCCCATCTAACCATACGAGCGCTGAACAAAAAAAACTGCAAGACTCCCTTTAAAAGAATCCTACAACAACTCCGCATTAAAACGAAAAAACCCTACAAAGCTACCCTTTTACACCCTAAACCCTAAACCCCTAAACCACCCTAAACCCTAAACTCTAAACCCCTAAACCCTAAACCCTAAACCCCTAAACCCAACAGCAAACTCAAAAAAAAAAAGAGCAGCCCAAGGGCCAGAGATCCCGGGCTGCCGTTGAACTCATCCATCAGCTTGTCCCAATCCTGGGCTCTCGGCACGGCTTCAGGGTTTAGGGTTTAGGGTTTAGAGCTTAGGGTTTAGGGTTTAGGGTTTGGGGTTTAGGGTTTGGGATTTATAGTTTAGGGCTTGGGGTTTAGGGTTTGGGGTTTAGCGTTTGGGGTTTGGGGTTTAGGGTTTAGGGCTTGGGGTTTGGGGTTCAGGGTTTAGGGTTTACGGCTTTGTTTGAGCCCCTTTTTACTCCAGCCCTTGCCCCCTGGACTACAGTAGGGGTTTAGGGTTTAGGTTTCAGGGTTTAGGGTTGGGGGTTTAGGTTTAGGGCTGAGGGCTTCAGAAACCTGCTGTTCCCAAAAGCTCTCGGCTCCAATAGAAGGGCCTGAAAAATGTTCAGGAAAGAGCTTTGGGCATGCCATAAGGGAGTATTATTACTACTCCATGAGCCGTCGAACGGTTTCGGGGATTTGTCCCTAAACCTGAACCACGAAGCAAAACACAAACTGACTGCACAAAGAAAGTAACAAAAGAAGAAACTACTCCTAAACTCTAACTTAAAGGTGAAGGAATGAACGAAACCTCTAAACCTTAAGCAGAAGCTTAAATGGTGAACACTAAACCCTACACCCTAAAACTCAAACCCCTTACAATCCCTAAACCCCTAAACCCTA